GTGACATCAAGGGCGTTACAATCTTTTATTTCTATGTACCATTTAGGCAGCTGCAGGGAAGTCACAAAGGAGTTGCTATATCCAAAATATCCCTGATGCTTGCTATTTCCACACAGTAGGAAAATGTGTTTTGCTCAGATTCATTTGCTGTCAAGCTTCTGTAATGTCAAAATTGGAAGGCTCTTTGTCCAGTTGAGTGTTCTGACTTTGATTGAGTTGTTCTTTGTTGACTCATGGAAATGTCGCCTTTGTTAGTAGCATCCCTTTTCTATGCTGTTACTGGCCAGCTGAAATTAAATTTAACAATGGGACTTAATGGGACTTAAAGATGTATTAATATATATATATATATATATTTTTTGAGAGCTTCTGATTCTTCAAATGAGACAAGTACAACTGCTGATGATAATGTACCTCAGCTTCTCAACCACTTCTGAGAGCAGTAGTAGAGATGGGACAGGCTCTGCACAATGCTGGCAGTCAATATTCAGAGCTGTGAACTCATCTTTGCTTGCTCTCTTACTCAGAGAGCAGGTCCAGGGTAGGCTTTTGGGACAAATGTGTACCAACCATGTTTCACTGTTATTTTTAATGGATTTTGTGTTCAGAAAACCTAATTCTGTCCGCTTGTGTTGGTTTTTTTTCGTAGTTGAATCAGATGGGTTTGTTTTTATCTGCTGCCTTTAGCCCTTTCTCACTGTTCTTGAGTGTAAGTTACACTATTTCCCTTTAAAGCAGGTAAGACAAATAGGTTTAGCGTTACGCTATTGAAAAAGTATGCCTTCTTCCTTAGGAAACCTAAAAGAGGAAGTGTATTGTTTATTTGACTGCTTATTCTATAAGGAAGCCAGCAGTCCCAGTATAGATTGAGTTTGCTGTGGGATTTTTAGTCCTTCCCTTATCTGTATGAAGTTCATCAGGTTTTTCTGTTACTTACTTTGTTTTTGTACATATGGTTTGCATCTTCTGTGGCAGAGCTCCCATTAGTGGTAATAGTAGCTTTGCTTAATGCATCTCTAAACTACGCGAGAAAATGAAGAAACAGGATTATCAAGTTGATGAGGATTTCCATTTACACTGTTGTTTCTGCTTTGGCTTTTAAAATCATGTAAATATATACTCTCACTCAAGTAATCCGTATGTGAAGCCGTAGCACGCAAAGGACAGGAAAATAAAGCAGTGGAGAGAAAGCAGGAGAAGAGATAGATAAGAGTATATAACAGCAGCAAAGGACAGGTGAGTGACTTTCCATTTCAATTTTTAATCCCTTTGTTTTTGCGTTTATTTTGACTTTCTCACTCTGCTTCTCTACCAAACATCTCAAAATTTATCGTAGTAGAGATGAGTTTAAGCAGTATAACTTAAGCATACTTAATAAGGTGAGAGCAGGAGGAACTGTCCCAGGTCACTAATATTTAACTTGCATTGATTCTTTTTTAAGTAACAAAGAAGTCTTTAATTTTCAAAAAATTTTCTTATGGAATTAGTAATACAGCTGCTAAGTAAAACTTTGCTGGAGGACAGTTACTTGTGATAGATTGCTAATGAATGACTTGCATATGAGAGAAAAATACAGGAAGAAATTTAAATGTGTCATTTGCTTACAATGGATTTAGGCTTTAGGGTTAGGACGGAATATCTATATAGAGTGGTTAGTGCTTTCTAAAGAAAACAATTGAGTGCAAAGTCAACTGAAATGAGTGTAATGTATCTACTGTCTGTAGAGTTGCCGGTGGCCATCTGTACCTAAGCTATGACCTCTTCTTTTTTAAGACTTTTAGTTTCTTGAGCTTTTATCAGTGTTCAGTTCAAACTGCCATTTCCTGTTTGAGATACCTGCTTTTGGTTCAATTTCTTTAAAAGTTTCAGCCAAAGCTGTTCAGTTACAAGAAGGCGGCTAGTGAAAAGTATGCTGTTTTGCTTGTGTGAGAATATTCTGGTGTCTTTCTTTGATGCTCCAGTGCCCCCAAGCTCTGAAGCAAGGATTTGTAATTTGGCAGGAGTTCAGCCTTTGTGTTGAGCATTTGCCTTTTGCCTCCCTGTAAAAATCCACCCAAATTTCCAGACCGGTTTACAAGGCTTTGAAAGATTGCCATTTGCATGGGCTTAATAGGAATTTCTTAAAACTTCATAGTAGGTTTCCTTTAGATTCTGTTCACGCTGTGACTGCTTCAGGCAGAGATGAACTGCGTATTTCATCCTTTTTCTGCTGAAAATTGTAATGCCTGGATCTGGGTACTGACATGGAACTAAGAGTGGGCAGCATATTGTCATGTACTGCCACTGCCTATTCCCATTCCTGTTTGTTCTTCATAATAAAGGATGGGTACGAATGAGAAATGTTGAGCAGTGTGTGTCATGATCCCCTGTTCTTACGATTGCGGAATACGTGCATAGCTGGAAAAAATATTTCATTTCTAGTGAATGTTCAGATGATTGTTGTATTTAAGCTTCAGTAGTTAAATGGATTTCAAGGTTTTAATGATGTCACTCAACTATGTAGGCGTCAGTTAAAAAAATGGCAGAGACATGAAAAAGTTACAGGATGGAGATGTTATTTAGACAACTTAAATGCGAGCTTAATTTCTTCAAATGACCAGATGTAAATCTAGACCCCTTGCACTATTCAGCCTAGAACTTCATTCGTGTGTCTTAGGCACTTATTCCAAGAGGCAACTATTAGATTAGAAAGGGGAGCAGAATCTATTTTGAGGATGACTTTGGGGTTTGTACAATAAATTCGTTTGTTATGGAAGCTGGAATTTGAGTAGTAAGCAATGCACAGATTTCAGGAATAATTTTAAAAGGTGCCTGAGACAGCTGAGTACTGCTTGAGGAATTCTCTGCTTCGTTGTGGTCTCTTCACAGGATGCCCTCAGATAACTGCTCATACATTCTGTGTGTTCCAGTAGCTGATGTAAAAACTTCATTAACTTGTGGAGATGTGAACTTGGTGGGAGCTAAACCTCATCTCAAATACTGTGTGTAGCTAAGGACTTAAAATCTAGGTTAAAAGTAGGCAACATTTGACATCTGAACTTAATTGCCTATTTTACAGTTGAATAAATTACTTCTCATCACTGCATAAAGGCTAGGGAAGAAGCATGTGACTTTTTTGTACGTGAAGGTAACAGGCATTTAACTTAATTTAGAGCAAACAATTCAGTTCCACTGATCTCAAGGTACCTCTTTGTTTCTGGGGGTGAAGACCTTTCACTCTATGTAATTAATTTGACAATAAACAGTATGAGTCTGAACTGTACTGGATTTAACTGAAACTGATGAGACAAGGTGAATCAAGTGATCAATTTCTAACTGTTCCAAGCATGAGTTAAAAACATGAGTTTTATAGCTCTGAAACTTAACTTTTCATTTTGAATCATCAGTCAAACTTCTAAAACTTAGAGAGTAATATTAAAATGCAAGTTTGATTAGATGTGACTTATAAAATTTGCTACTAAATCATAGGCATTGTACCTTAGTATTAGTTGAATAAAATATTACTGAAATGCTCATTCTTTCCATTTATTGCGGAGATTAAAAGCATGCTTGCTGTTATCAGTTGACAACTGTGTTAGATAACGAATTTCCTGTATGTAAAGCTGCTTCAGCAATGGATCAGTTTTATCGCTATATAAAGCTAGCTGCTACCTGAAGCTGCCTACGCTAAAAAAGATTTGATAGGCTTTTCTGGAAAGGGCAGGGTTACAACAAACATGTGAATGGGTATCTGTGAAAGTTTCCGCTTAGGAGTGTAACTATTCTGCTAACACTTAAAGAATTTAATCATTTGGGATCGATCTGTTGGAGAACCTGTGGCAGTGGAAAGAATATTTTAAACAAGTACCTTAGTTTCATTTCTTTTTCAAAATACAGCAGTTTTAAGATACGGATCTTTTAACTTCGAATGGTTCTCCAGGTTCTTGATAATGCCTCTAAAATAGCAGATTGCATGTGGATCTTAAAAAAGCTTCAGCGAAGGCAACTTGTTTTAAGCATTTGATGGGATTCTTGTTATGCAGTGTGTTCAGGAGAAGGATGACACAGTTGAGCTGCCCAAGGCATACCTCTTCTTCAGAAGAACTCATCTGCTAAAAACAGCGGTTTAGCTGTGTGAAGTTCACTTGCTTGTGGACAACTGATTTATTTGTCTCCCACCCCCACCCTTCCCCCTAGGAAGTCTTCCACTGACTTGTGTGCTCCTCCACATGGTCTCTGTGCTGTGCTTTGAAGTAGGGCAACTAATTTTAATCAAAGATGTCACTATGCTTCTGCGTAACTTCTAGCTTGGTTTTAGTATGCTGACGTGTTAGTGATGTGGTTTAAAGTTAACAAAATGCAATTCTTCATTTGATTTGATGTTGGCTTCTGTAGGAATAAAAAAAAACATACTCAACTTGGTTGTTTGTGTGAAAGCAAACTCAGAATGGACTTCTAGAATGTAATTAAATGGCTGTGCAGCAATTGTTATTTAGCCAGGCATCTTTCTTGACACATAGGTGATTCTGTGGTTATCCTGCATTTTTTTTCCTCCTTCACCTTCTTATTACTTCTCAATATCCCTAATAGCTTAAGAAATTAAGGAAAAATTGCTTGTACGTTTTTAGTTTCTTTTCTATGTCATTCTAGAATACTTCAGTTCAGAGTGCATAAATTAGGATTTAAAAGATTTACAAATGTGCATTCTGTCATTGTGAGTTAGTAACAAGATCCAAATGTTTTGACTTGGCTTCTTCATGATTTTTTTTTTTTAAGATGAAGGCATAAATTTAAGAGCAGATTACTAAAGACAAAAGCAAATAACCATAGTCAAACAAATTAGTTTGTCTCCAGTTGCATCAGTAGTAAGTTAGCTGTGGGTATTCAATTACATTGCTTCAGATGGGTTTGAAAAAGTAACTAAAACTTGACCAGCAAAATTCATCTGTGTTAGGTTTAATATGTAATAGTTTATATTTACTGTTCCTGAATGTTTTGCTTTTTTGTCTTGTTCTTGGCAGCAACTTGAATTAGTGGAACCAAGCGGCTGGATTCATGTTCCTTTAACAGATACCCATAAGAAGCCTATCCGCACATTTATGATTCAGATAGCTGTTCTAGCTAATCACCAAAATGGAAGAGACACTCACATGAGACAAATCAAAGTGTACACCCCAGTGGAAGAGAGCTCTATTGGTAAATTTCCTAGATGTACAACAATTGATTTCATGATGTATCGCTCCATAAGGTAAAATTTCCTAATGGTAAATAAAGACATCTTTTCGATGGCAGTGTTGTTGTTAAAATACTTGATTACTTTAAAGCAAGGTTAACTTCAGTGTGATTCTGTGTTTACATTTATGTTTTGTATGATTTTGAAATAAAATCTTTTATTACAGTTTTTTTTTTTTTTTAGAGTGCAATTTTTCATTACTTTTGCTTTGATTCTTTGGGCGCATTGCATTAACTGGGGTGGGGACTTGGTTTGTTTAAGAAGTGCATTTGTGACATGTAATCAATGATTGATTTGATACAGTGATTTTTTTTATTTTTTTTTTTTTTTACCTCATACATGATTTCTTCCTTGATCATGCCTGGAAGTGATAGTTCTACTGTTTATTCCTTCACCTATAAGCTATGCTTTCAAAGAGCCTTCTTTCTGAGCACCGTAGCTTAAAGACATTAACAGTAGTCTTCTCTGTCCTTGTTTATGTTTACTCTTTTTTTCTTCTATTCTCCTTTAAGAAGCAAGGATTTAGCCTTCTTTGTAACTACAAAATAGATGACAATGAGATGAGTAAGAACTAATCTTTCCAAATGACTTAGTGTACTATATATGCTTCAGTGGACAGATTGAGTGTAGGTTATCTAAATACGTGCTGGCTGTTTTAAACAGGGGTAGTTAAAAAGACACCGACACCATTTCTGCTGTGACTGTACCTAGAGGAGCATTCCTTGAAATAGTGAAAGATCAAATATATCATACAAGATAATTGTAGACATGTATAATGGTGTTTCTTTAATGTAGGGGCATTAAGGAATACTGCAAGGGAAATGTGTACTTGGCGTACTTGCTATGAATAGGAATACTTAACACTTAGTAATTAGGCTGAGAGATGAAATAATTATTTTAGCATTCTGAAAAAGTGAAGGGCTTTAGAAAGTAGGTTGTTCAAGTAGGGGATTTTTGAAGTGTTCAGTAGTGATCTAACTCAGTTGTTCTTCTGAGCACTATGGAGGTTAATGGTAAAATTGAACTAATCTCAACCAAGGAGAACTTAATAAAATTTGTAACTGAGTAAGAAGAGACTAATTCTTATGGAGTCTTGTCAAACAATGACGTTATGTCCTCCAGAGGATAATGGAGGTGACACAGAAAATCGTTGACAGAGAAGGATGAGGATTCTACTGTTGAAAACCTGAAATCCTTCATATGCTCTAATGGAGTAAGCTGATGTTGATTCAACAGGTGTGTCTTTTGGCTGAACTCCACTGTCTTCAGGAAGGTAATTAAAATGAGTATTGTCTGGTAATGTTGTTTGTAGTGCATGAGTAACCTGAGTTTTCTGTTAAATGCAGGTTCGGTCTTTAAGAGTATCATACTGGTATTTTGCCCTTTCTGTATGAAGGGTGGCAGAACTCCTGTTCAGCTGAGCAGTAACCTTAAGTGATTGTTTTTTCCAACTTGAGTGTTTCTGTGATGCTTTTTATCATGTCTCAGGCAGTTCTGTGAATTTTATGGTATGGTGTTAGGGAGATGTGTGCGCTTCTGTGAGCTTATTTGAAGCGGAGGTGGTATGACTTGGTATTTTAATCTTGACATAAAGAAAAAAAAATATTTTGATAAATTACTGAGGAGAGTTGGTTACAAGGTATGCAGTTATCTGTGTATAGGTCATCTGCAGTTATCCATCCTAGCTTTGTTGTCACACTGCTTTTACTTCCTCATGATTATTTCACTGATAATTCTGTGGTAACTCTAAATCCTGTCCAGGTACAACTAAGATATTTTGAGGCAAAGAAACATTTTAAGATACTCTCTACTCCTACTGTATGGTATGTATTATATACTTCAGTAATATATACATATATTTTCTCATCTGTTCAAGGGACCAGTCCTTGAAGTAAGTGTGAATGTATTCCTTATTAACCACACTGGTGAGTGATTTGCATAGGAGTTCAATCGTTGTCTAAACAATCAAATGTGTCCAAGTTGTTAAAGGTACATATGTTTAAAGCAATTTTTAAAGCCAATCTGAGCTGATAGGACTGGTTCTGCTTGGGAATGGATCTTTAGGGAGCTAGTTCTTGTCTTGCTTTTTTGTTCAGGGCTCCTACATCTTTGTGGAAGAGGTACCAAGTACTTGTATCCAAAATACAGAGTTGTCATTCCTGAAAGCAGCCTGACTATTACACGACTCTAAAATAAAAAGGCTGTTAAAGTAGCTGTAAGAAATGGTGGTACCTGTATAAAACTGGATGCTGTTAAAGATCTGTGTTGAAGAGGGGAACTGTGCTTTTTAAAAAAACAAACAAACAAACAAAAAAAAACAAAACAAAAAAACAACGAAGTTCTTGCTGTCTTTTATTAAACATCAAGGTGTTTAAGGCTCTGTAAAGGTGAAGGCTGTAGTTGCTTTATTCTTCTATCAACAACAGATCTAGTCTAAGACTGTACATTCCACTATTTTGTTTTTGCTTTATTGCCAGTATTTACCATTCCCAAAACTGTGCTTTTACAGTTGCTTCTCTGGTCTCTAAACTACATATGTGAAATCAATCCTTGCCCCTTTTAAAATGAATCTTAATTAAGTATTGGGTAGAAACAGTACTCTTAAGGGAGTGAAAAGTGAGTTGTCATGATGGTGAGGGTGGGAGAAGATGAAGAGAGTACAACTGGTAACCGCTTCAGCTGCTGCTGACAGGAAAATATATGACTGTGCCTGAAAGGCAGTGTAGAAAGACAAACTCATTACTACAGTTCTTGTCTTGCTCTTTGTTACGCAGCATTACTGTAAACAAATATGGTGGCTATGCTGAAGCCAACTTAAATCTTTTCTGTTATTTCATAATAACTCTAGAGTGCATTGGTATTTAACATCTGTGAAAGAACATTTGTTTTAATGTTGCTTAGTCACATAAGGCTGTTGATTTAAGTGATAAGATCCCAGAGGGTTGTGTCTGTGTCTGGGATACTACTTACGTATTAATACACTATTTTGCGTTTGAGTTAGGATAAACATCGTGGTTTGCCCAAACGTTGCTGGAAGTTGCCATGCATGTGTTGTGTGTGGCTGCAGCTACTTTTTTTTTCTTGCTTTTTTTTTTTTTTTTTGCCACAGTTCTCTGGGATCTCATCACTTAAATAAGGAAATTGATGTGGCTGAGTGCTAAAATGGTTGAGCAAATGAATTTTTCCAAGGACTGATGCTGTCAGAAGTTCATGTAATGTTTAGTTGGAGTTTGTAGATTACCTGGCCAAGTGCTTCTTTAAAAGGCATCAACAAGTGTTGTAAACTATAGTTAACTGCTAATGTCAGCTAGAGATCCAAGATTGCAAACCTGTAGAAATGCTAATGTGTTATCATTGTACTGAAAACATGCAAGTAACATTCTTAGGCTCTTGCATAAACAAGTACTGGTGGAATACTATATCCATTTTGACATAGATTTCTCTTCAGTGTGTGGGGGAGAGGGGAGGTTAAATGGGAATGGGAATAATTTTAGTTCAGTATACTTGCCTCTCATATTCACTGCCTGCTCAGACTCAAAAATAAATTTCCTTGGTATCCTTTAATATCACCTTACATCAGAACTACTTTTCAGTGCACTTTTAATTCATTTTTTCCACACATGCGTGCTTTAGTTGTTGTTAGGAAGGAGGCAAGTACTGTAGTATTCAGTGTGTTCAGGTTGTCTACCTGTCTTTAGAAATGAATACAGGACATTGTTTTTAGCAAGCTGACACATAACTGAAGGTTCTCTTAGAATTATTATTTTTAACCAAATAGCAATTATCCAAGAAACAGAAGCAAGGTAGTTCAATGAGTTTGCTTCTTGTGCATTGTGAGAGTCTGAGAGAGAGAACTGTATGCTGAGTGTGTTGTTGTTAAGAAGAGGAGAAAAAGCAGTGAGGCCACCTTTTTTCCCATGATGACCTATTGTGGCTGTACCTTTTAAAATATTTGGTAACTTGCAGTTACTTTGTGGCTAATGTCAAAAATGAGCAACAAAATTACTTTTTCTGAAGTTGATGGAAATAATGCTACTTATGGCAAAATAGCTGACAGTGTGTCTTCGCAGGTAGACGTGCTTTCACACTGCGATGTGGTTGGAGGTTAAGTTCAAGTCATTGGTAACTCCACACTGAAGCTATGAGACCAGTTGATTATTGAACAGCTGGCACGTAAATTGTTTTTCTGAGAACTTAAGGCTTAATATGAATAAGGTATGAGAGATCAAACGCTGAAGGTTGTTTAATCTAGGACTTGCTTTTTTTCATCTGTTACATTAACTTCAGGGAAGCAACTGAACATGATTTAGGATTGCAATCCGTGTGTACACAGAAGGTGAACCAGATGCCCAGATCAGATGGTGCTGATAAGTGAAAATGGGTGAACTCATTTCTGGTGGCACAACTGGAGGACCTCAGAGAGCTATCTGTTGTTGGGAAGGTGGGTGATCAATTCAGCCAAGGCAGTGAGCTGGGACTTTAGGCAGCGTGCTTGCGTTTGGATGAAGTGACACCTTTCACGAAGCGACAGTCAGAGAGAATGTCTTTGACTCTGAAACTACAAGTGAAACAGGGCCCAGTGCAATTTATTACCCACTGTGCTAAGTTGAGCTAGCTACAGAGCAGAGTGCCACATTCCCTAGATCAGGATAAAAAGATTGGATGTAGTAATTACAGATGAATCACGTTAAATGCTATAAATATAAAAAGTGTCAGAAACTAATGTAATAAGCTTCACAGAAAATCCTGACACAATGGATAGCGGTATATTTTAAAACTCTGTTTTGCAGGCAAGATCTTGAGTAAGAGCTCGCTGTTAGACAGTGTCTAAGTGAAAGAATGATTGGCCATTGTTTACGGTATTCTGGTTGCGTGCTTTGGTATGCCAATAAATCATGGAGGTTATTTTTAGTGGGCATTTTTCTTTCATACAGCATCCAGATTTGTAACTTTAGTAGAATCTATCAGTAGACTTGAGAATGATTGTAGTGACTCTAGATTGACATGGGCATGTGTTTGCTTCAATGGGGGCATGCAAGCTTGGAACAGAAAGGTAAGTGACAGCTGCATGCAGTGCAGTGGTATGCTTTGTGAGCTTAACTTGTTTAATCAGTTGTTACCTTTGGACTATTACCTACAGTGACAATTTAGGAATAAATGGTTATTA